TGAGTAGAAAACATCGTAGAGCTACATTTTCTAATAGCAGTGAGTAGGTGTGCCATGAAATTAAGCTTGAAGTTGACAAACATGCTGTTTTGTGCATGTGCTGGCAGTTCAACATTCATGAAGAGCCAAGACAGAAGAAGCTTCAGCAGAAGGGCCAACACTTTTATTTGAAAGTAAAACACTGGAGGGGACAAATAAACAACTAAGTTAATTAATTATTTAAGAGATTCTGATTCTAGAGAAGCACAAATTGCTTGGCGGTTGACGGACAGACTCACCACCACTCAAAAATCTCAGCTTCATTTTTTTAAACTATCCACAATAGTAAAGCTGCTAATTCGTGCCAGAAACTGTCTGTGTAGTGGAAAAGCTTCTATAAAGCAGTTGGCTCAAAGTGGGCCATTTGAAATATTTGTAGGGGCAGGACTGCACAGTATCAGGAAAATAAATAAACAACAACAACAACAACAAGCTTTGCTGCAATCACAGTATGAACTACAACAAAAACAGGTTTTCCTGATCCTTCCTTTTCTTTCGTCATCACTTTATCTAAAGCAGGTGTGAGAATGAAAGTCTGTCAGGATGAACAAAAACAGAGTGTTACATTTCAACTGTACATGAATTCATGTCCAACAGTCTGATTTATTGCAGTCCAAGAACTTTTTTGCAACATTGATTTTGTGCTCTGATAAAACAACAATAAATAAGTTGTGCATTATGCAACCCTTACTGTAAGGTGTACAAAACTAAAGTCAAAGCAAAGAATGTGTAAAAGTAGGACGAAGAACTGCTGCCTCAAATCACAAGTCTCCAAGAAACACCATCAGCTGATTTTAAGAAAATAAAGAAATAGCCTTGAAGAATAATTGTTGTACCTTTAATGTATCTAGAAATGTTGGAGGAAAAGACGGGTCCACCATTTATTCTATAACACGGCGTGTGGTTTCCCCTGAAGATGCCATCAAATGAAACTACATCAGCAACAGTCCTGCACATCATCTCACACGTCCAAGCAAAATGTGACACAATCTGTTCATGCTCAGAGTAGCTGATGGGGCAACTCTAAGCTACTACCACCCTATAAAACTAACTGCATTGTAGCCATTTCTGTGTTTGCCAAGGTTGAGTTGAAATGACATAAATATGCACATCCAATAGTTAGTTTTGAGTGTTTCAATAAAATCTGTTCAGCAGTTCAAGACACTGCAACACACATGGACAATCGCACAATTAACCACCTTTCATTGGCAAACTATGCCTAATGCAGAGGTATTTATAGTTGGCAGACTGATTACTACCAACAGTACTCATCACAAGACATTTTGTTCAGTGTTACGGAGCATCGCATGGATCCAGTGTACACCAACACAATGAAACGCTGATATTTCAAGATGAGCAACAAGACAATGCCATAACAAGGGGTGGACATAGGACATTCTCCAGGGTGTCCAGCCAGCAACCTCTAGACAAGCTGTCCGCCAAAAGTTTTGGTTGTCAGCAAACGTTACAATAAAGAAGGCAAAAAATCTCAAGAAAATATAATTTAATCAGTACAGTAGGGGTGCAGAAAAAAATGGATTCATTAAAGAATCTTATTCCTAGTCCTGGTGATTCTAAATCAATTCTAAAGACCCATAAATCGATTTTAAAATGCATTTAAGTTTATTTTTTCTGCTCCTACACCCAAGTGTACTGCAGATCACATTACGTGTCCACCTGTCACCCTAGAATTGGCCTTGTAGGCCACCGTACAGCAAGCTAGTCAGCTCCCTTTATCTGAATGGAGTCTGTTGCAGGACAGCGTGATTCGACCCACTCCATCGTTACAACTCAGTGTACGGGCGGGCGGGCGACCGACCGACCGACCAATCAATCATCAATCAATCAATCAATCAATCAATCAATCAATCAATCAATCAAGCAATCAATCATCAATCAATCAATCAATTCAATTCAATTCAACAATGTTACGGGAAAGACAGAGCTAGACAAAAGTGCGGTTGTTTGTAAGAAGAGGAAAATAAAATTGCGGTACAGTATTTAGTAAATAAGACACATGCATGGAAGGAAGATGAAAGGCGAAGCAGCAGCTCAGAGAACTCTGCAACAAACTTCCAGCTGATTCTCCAAGCAGGGCTGCCAAGATTTCCCACTCCAGCACGTGATGCATCACAAAGCACACCTGCCCCCCTCCCACCAAGGAGATGTAGTCATTTTAACATGCAAAGTAAGCATTCTGCTACACTCCCAAGAAGAAAAGCAGGGAAAAGACAACATGCTTCAGGTAATGAATGCTTCAAGCAATGGTGACACCCAACTGCATGTTTAAAAATAAGAATATTAACTTTACCCATGGAACATTTTAATAACCAGCAGCAGTGAATTTAGGGGGGCATTTAACCGTTACCTGAGTTAGTGATAAGCCCACTCATAACAGAACATGAGCTGGCATCATGTGGCCTTCACAGCACTAAAATACACAGTGACAAGCAGGTGAAACAAACAAACAAACAAAACAACAACCTGCATGTCATTATTAAAACAGAATAATTTACAGGTTCCACCTCGGTGCCACAGTTTCTCCACTTCATAACTGTTATTCTCCTTTCCTTCACAATCCACTTGGAACAGCGTCTCCTTCTGTCACTGTGTTCCTTCCTTCCTCACACCGTACACTGAATTTAACGTTACTTTCCAGAAAACTTGTGTTACTTGGCTTCTTTCTCCTTACCACCATCACCATCCTACAAAGAACTCTCTAGAACACCATCAAACACACTTTTCAAATCTTAAGACTAAATCTAGCCACGCACAATACAGACATGCTAGCTAAGATGCTACATGCTAACCCCGGCTGCCAGCCCAGCCACCGGTCAACAACCCGTAGTAAGCAAACGTGCAACACGGAGGCGTGTGGAGGTTTTTGTGCAGGTTTGCACAGATTTTGAAATGTTGTTAACGATTTACCAAATATGAATCAATATGGTTAAGACTGTGAAGTCTGTATATTTCATATTAGGTCATGTTTTGAAAATATTGCAAATGTTCATGCAATATGGTAAAAAATAAATAAATAAAAAAACCCTGTGATGTCTATTTTATTTTGAATCAAAGGTTAATGTACTATGTATGGAAGGCTGAAGTCCTTGTTTACTTTTGTATTTATATATTTTGAGTTATTTGTCTGTGATGGACTGGAGACCGGTCCCCCGACTCTCACACTGTGATGGTTGGACATGGGCACCAGTGACACCCGCGACCCGAAAAGGAAGACACGGGGAAAGATAATAAATGGATGGATAGATGAATGAATTATTTTTTCCTAGATTTTTAAATTTATTTTATTTTAGAAAAAGTCGAAGCATGAAGGAGCAACATGGGTTTGACTTCTTGTGGACCACATATGTCAAATTCAAGGTCCGGGGGCCAAATGTGGCCCTCAGTGACATCTTATCTAGCCCCCAAGATGAAATGTTCAACATGCAATACTTTTTTCACTTGAATTTTTTCTGTGATCTTTGATTATGATGTCAAAAGTGCAACTGAGAACATCAAATGAGACCAATCAAACTCTTGTAGAGGAACCTGCAACCAAGAAAAGATGTTGGGTATCCAACTTGAGTTCATGTAGATCCTGAAACCGGCCCTTAGTTTGAACAATATTTTGATCTTGGCCCCCTTTTGTAAGTGAGTTTGACACACCTGTGGACCCACCACCTGCAGGAAGGGTCATAAAAGTCAGGCACATGATGCCATGAGCAGTGGCCGAAGGCGGGGACCCTGACGCCCTGACCCTGGCGCCCCGACCCTGGCGCTCCGACCCTGGCGCTCCGACCCTGGCGCTCCGACCCTGGCGCTCCGACCCTGGCGCTCCGACCCTGGCGCCCCGACCCTGGTGCCCCGACCCTGGCGCTCCGACCCTGGCGCTCCGACCCTGGCGCTCCGACCCTGGCGCCCTGACCCTGGCGCTCCGACCCTGGCGCTCCGACCCTGGCGCTCCGACCCTGGCGCTCCGACCCTGGTGCCCTGACCCTGGCGCTCCGACCCTGGCGCTCCGACCCTGGCGCTCCGACCCTGGCGCCCTGACCCTGGCGCTCCGACCCTGGCGCTCTGACCCTGGCTTACTAAACTGAAAAAGGAAGATGTTGTAGTATAAAGAGAATTAAAGCAGCAGATGCAGCCTGTCTCATGCAGAGACTCATGCCGAGTGCGCCCACAGTGGCACACTCACTCTCTCTTTCTCTGTCCCGACGTTTAGTCACTCGCACAAGTTGCATATGTCTGTCCGATGATGACAACGCTCTGAATATATTAACATTTAATACAAAAGGTACATTTTAGATACAAAAGTCCCAGGGAGGTCAGGGATGGTGCAGAAGCAGGGTGGGGGTGATGACAGCCTGACCCGCCCTGCTGGAGTAAAACTGTGTCTGGTTTTCTTTATTTGTTGAAAGAAGTGTCAGTTTAATCCGTGCACTACCTTCTCAAAAACTGGTAGCAGGTGGTGATTTTGCCGTCTACTTAAGTGTCTGGTGCCACTTACTCTGACTGAAGACCCCC